AAACTATTATTTTGTAATTAAATCATAAACAATATCTAAATTATACAATCAAAATATAAGATTAATTACAAAAGTATGGCGTATATTACTACGATATTATAAAACCAAAAGAATGGGAAATGAGAACTGGTTATAATCACCGACAAAAGAAATTAACTTAGTACATATATATATAGATGGGAATTAAAATGAAACTACTACACTCTAGGATAACATTTAGTAGAAATTAGATATTGATGTCAATGTGCTTAAAACGAGAGAAATTAAAAAACGAAACAAGTTTCCTAAAATACTACAAATTCGGTTTACAATTTCGAGAAACTAAATTTGGACACAAGCGAGTATTTGCGGGCCATATTTTTCTAATAAAATAATTTTCATAAATTCAATGGAAAATGGAATTTCAATTTTTACAAGTAATAAGAAAGAAAGGGACATAGGATATGGTCTTGCGAGAAATAGAGCTTCAAGCACATTTTTGTAAAATATTAACGATTAATTTAAATTTTCGCACCCTACCCCTTTAAAAATTATTATGCGAAAAAATCTAATTTATGTTGATGTTTATGGGTAACTTTGTAATTTTTTGTATCGAGATAAATTCAATATAAATTTAGATTTTACCACTTAAAGATGTTATATTGTTTTCTCTCTTAAATTGACAGGTTACTTTATTACTTTAATAGCAACTTTCTTTTCACAATCAATTTAAAATAAATTACTTCGTAAGTATTGTAGGAAATTTTTCATAATCTCTTATTGGACCTCTATACTATGTATTTTCTCTCAATCTTGCCATTAGGAATAATTTGTTTAAAATTGTAGCCGTCTTTTCTGGCTATGTGTTCTTAATGTATGAAATAGTAGAATATTCTAAATAACAGTGCTACAATCAATTATATCATATATACGTTTTTCCAGATTAATAAATTTTTGTAAATTACCGTTTGAGTTATATATTTTATGTGCAAATAAACTGTTGATTAAAATAATAATTTATAAATAATAGTTGAGGCCACAACTGCCGCAACCACATGGCGAGTATGAAGGATAATTAACAATATTGGGATAACCGAAGGGCAGAGACTCGGCTAACAGATTGCTCACAGTCAAGAGAGAGAGTGTGTCTACCAAGCTATTGGCTACTGAGCTACTAGGCTGTAACACTAGCGGAGACGGGGAGGCAATAATGGAAGATGGGGCGGCAATAACGGAAGGTGGAGCGGCAATAACGGGCGGCATGAGCGGACCTCCGCAACCACAAGGAGAAGGCGCTACTGGATTGAATGGCAGGAAAGGCCCAGCACGGACTAATTGGCCATAGCACTGTAAAAGGAAAGTTATTTTCATAAAATAAAATTAGCTGATGCACAGCCATCAATCATACCACATGTTTTTACATTAACACATACATAAACAGGCACATCTGCGCTCAATAACGATTATTCAATTAGATAACGATTAATGAAGAAAATGCCGAAATTTGGTTGTTAACTTTCTTCGAGGAAATTTAATAATTTCACGTTTTTTATTGTTCAGAACCCTTACAAATATGATGTCATTTTTTGTCTTAATTGCGTTATTTCAGACAGCTGTACAACCGGTTTTTATAATATATATTTCCTCAAAGAATTATGAATAGTCCCTATAATGTTTAAATTGAAGTCTAGAAAATTGAGTTTTGTAAAACTTGACTTGAATTGACTATACATACAAAAAGCTGAAAATGCACATTTTGGTTGTACGCGTCATCTCAATGAGGAATTATTTAAAAAAAGACATTAGTTCCCGAAATCAAACTAGATGTCGCTACCGTACGTTCTTGATTTCTCCATGACAACCCTTACGGTTTTCTTTCAAGTTTAAAAGTAAATTAGTTTTCAAAACTCAATAAACAACTCATATTCTATTTGTACTTTTTCGAATTTGTATTGATATCTAAGTTTCTAACTTTTCAAATTTCAGTTTTAAATATGTTAGTTAAAAGGAACAGAAATGACTGTCTTTGGTCCATTCGTTTTCTGCAAAAATCAACTTTTGCTAGAGTCGCCATCTAGTGGAGGTGCTTTCTTTTTTTTTTAATACTTCCTCATTAAGCACTAATAGACCGACATAAATTTTATAAACTGCATTTTTTGGCATTAGCTGTAGTGTATAAAAATATTTTAAAAAAACTTACTTGGAATATAGCCAATTGTGCAAACACAAAAGCAAGCACGAAAGATTTCATTTTTTTTATTTTTACTTTTATTTCGAATAAAAGAAAACTATTTGAATGATCATTCCCTAGTATTCAGATATATTTATACCTATTAATTTCACAATACATGTTAAAGTATGATCTACTTTAATTTCATAATGAAATGAAGTGACAATGTTGAATGCGTTGTGTAACTAAAAATGCGTAAATTATCTAAGTACGCAATGAAATGTTTTGTCACAATTAATAAATCGTCCGATTGACGCGTACATATCGATTGGAATATCGATAAGAAAATAGATCACAAAAAGTTTATTACTAACTAAATATGAAAAAAAAAACAATTGTTAATTCCAATCTTATTCCTTCTCGCTATCCTACTTTTCCTCTTCTACTTCATTATCCCAAAATAACTTTTCTCAAAATAAAAGTTTTCTCCAAACTCAATAATATGTAGAAATGTGATTAAAACAGTATTCGCAGACTAATCTCATATCTCTGTCTCTCTCTCTGTGTGTGTGTGTTTGTGTGTGTGTGTGTGTGTGTGTGTGTGTGTGTGTGTGTGTGTGTGTGTGTGTGTGTGTGTGTGTGTGTGTGTGTGTGTGTGTGTGTTTATAAAAAGTTGAAATGAGGTGAAAGTTATATTATTAAATTCAGTTTACCTTTTAGGTTATGGTAATCATAAAATACTCAGTACCTTCATAATCTATTTTTTGTGATTCTTTAACAGTTTATTTACAGCATGACCTGGGCAATGGATATATATTTTATTATTTATGTAACCACCGAGGCAACAAAAGAAACTGTAAGATGTAGTAGTTTTAAAGTTTCGAGTAATGCCGACTTTGCTTTTTCTGCGTTTGTATTTTATTCATACTTTAATATTGAGTGTTATTTTAGAATAATCTGTAGCATGAGTGATTGTCTTACAGAGAGTCCTCTCTCCCAATCCTATTGTTTGTATATATATCAAAAGTAAGGAAATAAAAAGAAAGACCAGCAGCTACTTTGAGAATAGGACGTTGGGCTCTTTCAACTTTTTTTTTTTGACAGTGGGAAAGTCATTACTCCATACCCCGGGTCGCCAGCGCGGCTAACCGGGGTTATGTGATGCTCCCCCCTACGGACACGCCCAAGAGTGGGGTTGGTCAAAGAGAGGGGTATACCCACTAAAACCCAGCGATGTCCCTCGCATGGAAGACGATGTACGGAATCGGCCCGAAAGCCATACACCGCGCGGTTTACCTCAATTCGTTCCGCCCTTAAAAGAGCAGATCCCCCTCCGAGAGTACGTCTCAGAGACATTTGAGACGCACCCCCCCAGCACGCAAACTGGCTATACTGCCCCCACCAAAAACTAGGAATTCAGAACTGTAAAATCCCGGTCTTAACCCGTTGATTGGAAGGATCCACACAGGCCGCCCTCGGGCAAACCCCACGGGTCCCCCTTCGCGGATCCCTCCTCCCGTAAGACAGCGGCTCCGCCGGAGTACAGCTGAACACAGCTCTAAAACGGGCGCTATCAGGCCTCATCAACCGGCTCCGCCGCTCCTCTCTACACGGCCCCGGAGTTGGTAACACCCGATTCGGCCCTCATACACACTCAAGCGGTGTGCATGGCGGCCAGGCCGAGCCTCCAAAACCGGGGCCAAGGCTCTTTCAACTTCAATGAGATGCGTTTTAGGTGCAGCCCACATACGGCGATGTATTAGTCCACAAGTGACTGGCACAGAGAAAGATAAACCAATTTCATCACACTAAGATAAGCAACATATTTAATCTACAACTACATGACCGAAAAATTAAGCAGTGATTGAAATGTTCTTGATGTTTAAGCCAATCCCAAGTAATATAATACACTCATGACATGGGCGCAACAACCCAATGCCAACTCCCTTGAATACAAGAAACGTATAGTCAGATATGACATTCTGAGAATTTTCTCTTTTATAAAGAAAGTATGTACGTGTACCTAACAATCTGCTTCTCACATGCCGCGATTGTATGCGACATCTTGGGAAGATAGTGGATTGCCTCAGGATGTCGATAAACTTCAAGTTTATAGACACTTATTCGCTTTATATGATAACTGCAATAAGAGCGAGCGAATCAAAATTCGAATAGCAATATCACACATTTAGCCATCGATTTTGATAATGCCCCTCTATACAGTATTTACTTACTCATTTATACCTGTAATATGAGTAACATTTCATTTGTGCTGGGCTTGGGTTTTTAAGCATTGTCCCTTCTATGGTTACCACTGTATAAGTGTTTCATAATCTATACCAGTTATTAAAAGGAGAATGTTATGTGTTGTGTACAACTACCCTATTATTATATTAGATCAATTAAGAATTCACAATGCTATACTGAACCACACTGCTGCCTGGCATAGGATATAAGTACAAAGAATGTAATAAGGTTTCATTTGAAAAATAATTTTATCGTTAAATTTTACTTGATCGATCTGTATTTAAGTACAAAAAGTAATAATCTTTAACAAACATTATGTTCATCATAGATTACACTTAATCACAAAACAATTATGAAACAAAAATTAATATCTATTTCCCGATTTCCGGGTAAAACTGATATCGTCAATGTGCAATTTGTACCTAATCTTTTTAAAAATCGAACCCGGTATAGATAAAAAGAGGTTTCAACAAAGAAATCGATTTTTGAAATCGTTACTTAATCGGTAAATTATTACTTACAAAAACTTGCGAATGCTATCTTTTATTTCAATTGATATGTTATTGACTAAATTGTTCTGTCGTGTTGTTAAAAAATAAAAATAATGCAAAGAGTTTTTATAGCGTTCATACTCTCAGTGTTGATAAGTGTAAGTCTTATTTCATATCTTCACCACATACTTCTATTACATTTTTCGCGTTATTTACAATCCTTATCTAACCATCTGTATATCTGCGACAGTATCTTTAAAACTGGAATTTAACTTATTAAATACCGCTATTTCTTATCTTTCTCGATTATTCATAGTTTTATCTTTCTTGACCTCTGTAGCCGTATAGTTTGCACGCCGGTTTCAAGATCGCGAGTTCTATTCCCGGTCAAAGCAATATAGAAAAAAAACTTTTCCATACTGTCTAGGGATTGGGTGTTGTGGTGCCTTTGTTATAGATAGTCCATTGTGACATATACAGTACCTAAAGATCTCATTAATTATACTAAAGCGTTGAATCGATATCAACTTAATCAAAGTAAGTGACAAAACTTTATTTTATGTTACAGATAGCTCACACGAAATCAACAATCAACAAAGAGCTTTTGGTGAATAAGAAAATAACATTTAATCAAAACCAAAATGACTTAAAAACTGTTTCAGACAAAACCAAATTTAACAATCCTATCAAACTGGCAACAAATAAAGAAAAAGCAATTTACAACAACGCCAATACATTAAATAGCAATCAACATGAATATAAAACCACTGACATTATTAGTCAACACATAGACAACGTGCGTAACAAAAACACACAATTGAGTGTCAAAATAATAAACACGAATAGCACCCAAGGTGCAAACTTCACGAAATTAGGCGAAAAACTTGCTCATTTCAAATTAAACACAACTGTACCTAAACAAGAGAGTGTTCTAGAAATGACAGCTCCTACAATGATACCAATCTTCAGATCAATGCAAAATAATATTAAAACTACACCACCACCTCTTCCAAATGAATTAATCAGAAAAGATAACGTTTCAAATACAATGGACAATTTAAATCCAAACTTGGTGAGACCACAAAATAACATAGAACATGACAATGAAATTCAGTATATGAATAGTTTATCTAGAGATTATGGAAAAAACGAACCGGCTAATTCTACTAATGGCATAGAAATGTTAAGTTTAGATGAAATGCTTAATTTTTTTAAACAGCAACAGAACGGAATAAGTTTTCAACAAGTTCGTAAAGAATTAAATCTTTCAGCTGAACCATCTAATCATAAAGTAGGTATCAAAGAAGAAACGTCTTCTCCCAATATACTCGAATCAAAAAACAATTTAAATCAAAAGTTCAATTTTATGAACACAATTCCAAATGGGCAATCCATATTCAATTCTCAATCTGCAATTGAAAGTTTTCACGGTAATATACAGCCTGGACAACACACAGATAAAAGGCAACATCCGTCATTCAAAATAGAGAATATCCCGGTAAACCCAAACATTCAAAATAATTTGGCACCTACTGATAATTTGATTACAGTTCCCAATGAATTCTCTACTCATTCAAAAACTACTCAAGAATCACAAATCTTTGCAGGAGTACCAAATAATATAATAATTGAAAAGATGAGATTTATTCCAATGTCTGAAATGCGTGATTTTGATACCAGCAATGCATTACCCTATACAGATGTACCTAATGGGATACACCCTATACCTTCAACTAAATATACAAATTCGGAAACCAAAGTCTCAAAAGAGCAAATTGTCAATGAAAACATTGATATTCCAAGAGAACGCTCTGTCGTAACCAATACAAAGTTTAATATCCCTTGTCATAAAGCAGCTGACATTTTAGATGATCTGGTTCCATATAATCCGGCTGTCCACCAAAATTCACAATCAAAACTTATTCCTAAATTTGAAAGTACAAAGCCTAAATTAGGTCGCAAGTTTATTGAAACCGAGAAGGGTACAATAGAAGATGAGTCACTAGCCATAATATTTAAACCGAAGAATATCTCTTTGCTAAAATTATATGGCGATGTGCTAAAGAAAATAACCCTTACAGTATTGGTCCCGTATCATATATCTAAACTAACTTCTTAACTCATAAACATAAAATGTGCATCTACAAATTGGTTAGTTAGAGCAAGCTGCAGAGAACACAAAATAATTTATAGTGATTCAGGAATTGCGTTAACAATTATATCTATTTTCTATTGTAATTTAACAAAAAGGTAGGTTTCATAATAAGAAAGTGTGCATAATCATTTTTATTAACAAAAAGACTTAAAAGGAATAAGCTAAATTAACTAAAATCTGATTCCTTCATTCATTTCCTAAATCCCAGAGAAAAAATGCTGTTTTCTTTTTTTGCTAATATTTCTTGCTTGGAACCTTACTTGTACAAACCTTACTCTGAAAAATTAAGAAAAGAAAAATACAAATTAGTCCAGCCATTCATAATAATTGGTGAGTTAACCCAAAAAATCTTTCTTTATAAAGACTTATTCCTTTTATCAAGCACCTACTTTTACAAGTACTATAATCACAAAATAGCCTTTGATAATTCTAGTATGTAAATATTTATTACTTAGTTTAGTAGTGTGTTTAGATTTATTTTTTTTATTAATAAATTATTTAACTTTTTTTTCTCTATTTTATTACGTAACTGTTAACCCCAAATTCGTATATGTAGTTGAAATTGCATATACAATTATTATAAGCTTATTTTTACAGACTCTTGATGCTGGCCAGCATACTGACTGACAAATGGATGACTTATTTTTAGATTCTTATGGTTTTTAGAAAGGCGTTGTGTTGTTGTGATTAACCCTACAAGGCCCCCAGTGCCACATGTGGGACAACCATTTATTTCGTCCCTACAGCGATGAAAAACGTGCAGTGACATCTATTATCAATCTGAACACAACCGTTAGATATTTAGCAACAAAATAATACAAAGCATTGCGCATAGATGTTGCCACTGCTTCCTGTTTAGAGAGTTTGGCAAAAAAATTGAGTAAAAGTTTTACGTTAACCACTCTCGTGATTTCATCAATTTCAAAAAATTAGTAATCGTATAGTTCTGAGTCCAAAAAAAATTAGTGAGAAATAAGGGAGGGTATATTATGCAGAGGTAAGTTATTTTTTTATATTACTGTAGTAATAGTATTTGAAATCGTCATTTTATCTATGTGCCACATACGGTACGTTGAGCTTTCGTGCTCGTTTTACTATTTCGTACTTACGCCAAATAATTACTATTATTTTATTTTCTTTTATAGATTATGTCGCGAAGAGGATTGTGTAGTGAAGAAATTGAAGAATTTTTTGAATATCCCTTCTGGGAGTGAAGATGAGGAGGATTTTTTGACGCTGGAAGTTAGTTATTCCAAAAGCTGATATCGAAATCACTTAGCGACGAGGAAACTTCACTACTGCCGCAAAGACCATCTTTGTCTCCTGCCAATGAGTATGTTCATGTTGTGAAGGCCTGAAATATCAGACCTGCAGCCTAGTACATCAGGGACAACTACAAGTACCATTACATAATCACGGGCACTTGGGGGATCATCAACTAAAACCTTTGGTTCTACGTCTGTTGCCATAAGAAATAAATTTGGAGAAAAACAACTTTTCATTCACCTCATTCTCCATTTACTGGAGACACAAGTTTACAGTCACTAATTATACACTTTGAAACACCCCTTCGATATTTTTTGTAGTTGAGACTATTATCATCTTCTTGATATTTTTTGATCAATAGCTGGTTATTGTACAAAAGAGTTGGAGAACAGAATAATACGCGAATTCCACTAAAACAAAAGAAGTTCAAATTTAAGGTAGGCAGAAGTTTATGTATGTTATGGTTTCTGCGTCTGAAGAAATTAAGAAGAAAAGAAAGAAGCCCAATACTGCAATCCTACCTCCTTGTGAGTTCAGACGTGAAGGGTTGGAGCATGATCTGGGGTGAAACAAAGAAAAGACAAAGATTTAAATAGCCTGGTTGCATAGGAAGACTTTATTTTTTGTGAGAATTGTCACGCAGAACTTTGCTTGAATAAAGATAATAATTGTTTCTGAAACTTTCATAAGAAGCTTTTTCAAACATAATTGTTTCTTATTTCATTTTGTTTCAGACTTTGTAATGTACATCTTTATTATGTTAATAATTATAAAATAAAAAAAAGCTCGTGATAAATAATATAAGATACCTTTTCCTAATTATTACGTTTATTGTAGTTCAGTACCAAATAGTATAGTTAAGGCTCAGTGTACCATATATGGAACTGAAATAAAAAAATGATTTTCTGGTAAAATATTGGATTATTATTTTTTTATATATTTTTTCCTAACTACTAATAACTAATTACATCATATATATTTTTTCCACAACCAAAAAAAAAATTGAGCCTTGTAGGGTTAAAGAGAGCCCAATCTATCAAGTCGGTTTTTTTCCTATAACTCTTTTTTTTTCACTCATGATTTTCCTGATAGACTAAAATGTGCAAAAGCTTTATAAAGCTTGATATTTCATTTATTATTCGTTCGTTGTTGTCAAAGTACATATCAAAGCAGTAAATGAAACGAAATATCGATATAACATCGCTAATATGTTGTGATGTGTTTTTGTTCTATTGGTAAAGTTATAGCTAGACGAGGTCGCTCTGCAAGTGCCCCTGGTGGTATTTTTACCCATTAACCGCGGGACCTTAAAAATACTGCTTAATATTTTATTTATGAATAAAAGTAGGATGAAGAATACTACTATAAAAATCAAATGGTAGGAATTGGATTGGGTTCATTCAGTATATTTATTTTTAAATTGATCACGTGGCCATAATCACGTAGTTTCTATACATACCTACATATAAAAACAATCCATATTAAATATATGGTATACAAAACCAAAACAATCGAATGACGATGCGGGATAAACAAAGTGACGTCACCAACATGGCTGCCGCGCATGCGTTTACTCGTCAAATTGTGTAGACACACGACATGAAAAATTATTGACTTATTTTCTAGTATACTATTCTAAAACTGATAAAAAACGAAGAATACCATATGATAGAAAGTATGTGTATTGTAGCTTTAACGTTGATTCTACTCTATTGCTCGTTTCGTTATTTTTTTTCTAGTTTAGCGACTATTGATAAATTTATCTCATTTCTATGCGACCAATAGGTCGCAGTCATGGTAGGTAAACAAAAAAGTGAATTTAATCATTAGTTTTCAGTGGTCCGCGTTCTAGCAGTTCCAATAGCGCTTCACTGGTTCACAAAAAAAAAGTTTTAATACAAGTTGTATTTCTTAGTTCCTTTTATAGACATACTTATGTCATAAATATTTGTAGTTTTCTTGGAAAATCTTGTTTTTCGTCACCCAAATGGCTCAAAAAAGAAATTCATTTATATATCTCTCCCAGAATATTCCACTAGTGTGGATACACGCAAACACCCTAAAATCGAGGGTGAGTTGTATATCTATAGCGAACTGCAGTCGTGATCCAGTCGGAAAGCCTGAATGTCGTTTAAAAAGAATAGGTGTCGTACAAATATCAAAATAAGTGGCATATTATTTAATGTTTTGCAAAGTAAAAAGACCAAACTTAGTGAGTGACTGTGTGCTTTAAAGTGTTTATAAAAGTGAAGTTATGACGTTTGCCCTGAAGGCACCCTATATGATAGAAGAAAGGTTTAAAAGTATCGATTTAGCAACGAGTATTATGCCTTCTTTGATATTTCGTAATCGGTAAGTTAAATCGATTTATGTCTTAACATTCTAGATTTATATGGATAGCTCTGAAATACTAATATTTATGACTAGAATACGAATTTATGTAACATGAATGGCTACAGAAGTAACGGGACCTATGTTGTTTTGTTTTTGTCTACAAACCGACTGAAAAATTCGATAGAAACTTAATTTTTATCATCATTTATAAAATCTTTTTGCGGAAAGCGAATAGCTTTGTGTGTACTTAGCTATTCTCTTGAACTATCTATCTATCTTGAAATATCTAATTTGTCTTAAAATATGATTAGTTAATATTAGAATTTAAAGAAAATTTGTCGAAGAAGAATTATTAACATTTCAATAGGTATTATTTTTAATACATATTAATTATTTTTGTTCCTCATGTTAAAAAAATATCTAATAATATTTGTGGTGTAAATATAAATTATATGAGTATAAAAAGGCTAAATATATGTATGAAAAACAATTCTTTAAAAATCTATCTAAAAGACTCCTACAGGAAAAGTAATAGCAAAAACCCTTAACAGTTATTCTAGAACAGCATAGCTATAGAAATAAGTATGTCATCATCACCAGCCCTTTTACGTCCCCACTGCAGGGGCTCAGGCCTTCCTTATGGATGGTTAAGGAGGATGGGCCATGACCCTCCACGCTGGCCGAATGCGGATTGGAGGGTATTAACGACTGCAAATGCAGCCGGGACCAACGGCTTAACGTGCCTTCCGAAGCACGGAGTAGCTCGAGATAATAATTTTTGGTCACCCATCCCGTGACCGACCCTTGCGAAAGTTGCTTAACGATTACGATCGCGGGCCGCGGCGCTTATCAACTACGCCACCGAGCTACTCCCGCGGCGCTTATCAACTACGCCACCGAGCTACTCAGTATGTATATAAATAAGTATGTAAGTGCTTCTAATTTAGTAAGTTATTCGAGCAACTACATAGTTCACTAAAACCTAAGTAGTCATATAAGTATAGTTTTTAAATGTAAAGGGATTGTGTAATGATTATGAATTAAACATAGAGCTGTAAAAAGGAAGCGTACACTAAATAAAAATCGCTAACTTTCAACCGTTTTGTACAGACAACTACAAGTCAGACCACAAAACTGTCAAATTACCCCACTCGATTTTAATTCTTAACTTTTAGGATGTTAAAATTGATTGCAAAAATTTGATATATTGTGGTAACCTGACAGCAGCCATGTGTACAAAGAAGTAACTTCCTATTAAGCTGTAATAAAAAAAAACGAAAAAACGTATTTCTAAAAATTCTGTATCTTTTGTATTAAACGTGTTTTTATTTTATTTTTTCTCTAAAGATATTTCAAAGTTACCTCTTAATACATCATTGCAAAATGAGATTTGGATTGCCATTTAGCTTTACGCCCTTTTTTAAGAAAATTGCGTATTCTCTCTCTTAAAAATCCGAAAGCTAGTCAAAAAAGTAGGTACATAAAAAGTAAAGAAGAATTGAATATGATTAGTTAAATATTCTTAAATGGAAAATTCTTAAAAAATACACTGTGGTGAGTCGCAGTCGCCCGGACTGCGAAAGATCGTGGATTCGAATCCTATCTCAGAGTGCCAGGGACAAAGTGTTTTTTTTTTACTATTTTATTAAGAATATTTTTCTGTATAGCATTATGAATTCAAAATTGATCAAAAATAGACATTACATTACAAAACAGTTACTTATAACTAATAACAAGTAAAGAGAGGTTATAACGCTTGAAATAAAACTAAAAGTTCGTTTGAAATGGAACGTAAAATAAAACGTCAAGTGACATCGGGCCACGGCCATTGTTGATGATTAAACGACTAATTTCAGAAGAACGTTGAACAGGTGTCTTGAAAGTTAATAGCATAACCTATTTCAACTTGCATATTAGCCTACTGAATCACACCACACTTCACTTCACTGCACGTGTATTTGAGGGATGTGACACATTATCGAAATAATTGTAACCATTAATTTTTATTTTTAATAAAATTGTTTTAGCATTTATTTAATTATTTAGGAGTCATTTTGAAGACAAAAGTTTTCTAATGGGTGTAATTAACAAGAACATGTAATTTAATAAGCTCATGTCATG